GTTGAATCTCTTTTTCAAAATTCATTCGACGAGAAAGATCAACTGAATATTGAGTGAAAAGTTTTGTAAGTTCTCGTCGAAGTCGTGCCATTTGTTTCGTAACAATTTGAGCTAATGTTGTAGAAGATTTTGATAAAATATGTATTTGACATGGTGGAACATATGTTGGACCACGATTAAGAAATGTAATTTGTTCTTGTGATAAATGATGTGATGTGTCTTGAAACATTGTTGGTGAACAAGTGATATTTGATTTTGGAATAAGAATGCTCCGACGATCGATCCAATCTAATGCTTGATCGTCGGAGCTTTGACGAAAAAACGTAATTTTAATTTATAAAGATGTATAAGACGTTCATTTATATTTTTGAAACGTCGTTCCATAATATCTAACATTGTTTGAGTTAATTTCTCATGTGATGGACCAGAACGTTGATTTTCTTTCATTTTAATAAAGTCACTATCGAATTTCTTTTGATATTCATTCATTTTTTCTTCGGCTGTTGCTATATAAACTATCATCATATCAGATTTTGTTCGTTGTAATATTTTTTCACATTGATTCATTAAATTTTGACGAATATTTGTATCAACAATTTTATCTAATAAGATAGGTGCCGGTATTTTAAGTGATTCAAATGATTGTGGTAAATGATTATATGCAATACGTTGTTTCAATATAGCTACATCAAATTTAGCTGTTTCTTTTTCATATTTAGCTTGAGTAAGATTTTTAAATATATCTTTTTGATATTCATTTGGATTTTGTTGTTCATATTCTAATTGAATCAACTGATCATTATAATCATATTCGACAGTGGCAATTTGTCCTTGTGTAGGTACTTTATATAAAGGTATGACATGTTGTTGAACAAATTTTATAATAGCTTCTTCAATATCAGATGTCCAACGATTATTTAAACGTTGTTTTCTTTCTTTCAATTGAGCTTGATAAAGTTCGGTTTGATTTCGAAATTTTTGTAACACTCTCTGGACATAACTCAAACAAGAAGCATGATCTATTTCATTTGGATCAGATGTAGTTACTTCACCACGATCAATCATTCTCTGTTTGACTTCTAAAGGCCATAATGAGAGTGTCGATGTTGTTGCTTGTGGCTTTAATGTACTTGTACCAGAACGTAAATATGTCGTCCATAGTAATCGATCGAGATCGACACATTCAAGTTGATGAATAAGAACAGCAATCGCTCGTAAATATTCAATATCGATAGAGCTTCTTGTTTTTTCAAGTACAGAATTAATCATTTGTTCAAAAGCTTTATTATTACTTGATAAATATTTTGGTGTCAGATTATTGGTTTGTTCTTCTTTAGTAGATTTCATTTTTTTCGATATATTATCTGTTGTTGTACTTGGTGTTAAAGCTGGTCGTTTCTTGACAGTTGATCGTTTGAATTTATCACTATCCTCTTGCTCTTTATCAGTAGCTGATAGTTGACTTAATTTTTGAGACAAATGTTCTTCTCCTTCTGCTTCTTCTGCTGCAGTAGTTAGATCAATTAAAACACTTTTATTATCATTGAATTGTACGATTTCAACTATTTCTTCGTCGTCATCATTCTCATTATCTTTACCAATATTCATATATAAATTATCAAAATCAACATTTCGATCTTTATCTTCATCCATATCATCGCCATATCGATGTAAAATATCATCGAATTGATTAATATTTTTCTCGAACTAGAATAGAAAGATTCTCTTTTTATATTTCGTATATTATTAAGTAATTGTAATAATTATACTAACATTACGATGTGGATCGGCCATCTGATATTGTATGAATCAAAAATCTTTGATACTTATTTCGATATCTAAAATTATAAAGAAAAACATTAAAAAAAACAAACAAAGCTCAAAATGAAAAGAAATATTATTGCAAATTAGTATGCTTTTATATGATAGATGATGATTCAATACAATAAAATAGAAGCTACATATGATAATTTGATTTG